CAGGGCAGGAGTCCCTGCAGGGCCCTGCACTCTGGCCTTGCCAGCCTCACTCCAGGGCCCTCCGCTCTCGGCAGGGCATTTGTGCAGATCAGAGCGGTCGTCCCTGCATGTGTGTGGTTTTGTGAGCATCCCATGTGGCGCTGCTGGTGTGGTCCTTGCTCCCCCGTCATGCCTCCGACTTCAGCAGCGTGGTGTCAGTGTAGATCCTGTTGTGGCTTTGATGTCACCTGAGATATCAGACAGGGCAGCCGCCTGGCCAGGACTGGGCTGGGGAACCTCCTTGGCCCTCACCCTTGCTTGCCTCCCTGCTGGGATGTACACAGAGGTCCCAGCCCTCTGGGACAGAGCCTGCGGTCTGGAGCCCCCACCCTAGGGCACCTCAGGGCACCCACTGCTTGCAGGCAACCGACAGTCCCTCTCTCTCCCGTGCAGGGCTGCTGGGCAGGGTGATACCCACCAAAGTGATGGGGAGAGGGAAGGAGCTCACGTCTGTGCGCACGTGGGCGCGTGGGCTCTGTCCCCACTCTGCAGGGCGAGATGATCGACCGCATCGAGTACAACGTGGAGCACTCGGTGGACTACGTGGAGCGGGCTGTGTCTGACACCAAAAAAGCGGTGAAGTACCAGAGCAAAGCCAGACGGGTGAGTCACGGCACTGGCTGGGTCCCGTCTTCCCCTGCCTACGCTGCCCACACCGCTGTCCCCAGGGGCAGGCCCCTGCCTGGCACCCCTGCCTGCCCAGAGGAGTGGGTAGCACGGCGCAGCCTCACGGGTGCCTGGGTGCTGCTTTACCCCACGGCACTGGGTGCAGCGCTGGTCCCGCTGGTGGCACCAGCTGAGGCAGAGCTCCCTGGCACAGGGTGCGTGAGCACTGACAACCAGCCATGGGGCAGGGGTGCTGCTTGGCGGGAGGAAAAGGGATGGAAAAGGGACAGGGTAGATCTCGTGGGCCAGGCCTGCTGTGAGACCTACAGCCCTTGCCAAAAAAAAAAGCAGCGCAAAGGCATGGTCCGGTTCTGAGCCTGAGCGCAGTGCCAGCTGCCTGTCCCAGTCCCCACACCTGGTCCCGTATCAGCTCGGGGACCTTGGGGCCACCAGCTCAGCTCCGGTAGCCCAGGGCTGGAGGAGAGGGGAGCTGGGGTGCCCATCCCTGCCCCAGGCTGCCAGAGCCCCGCTGGCTCCAAAAGTGCTGCTCAGAGCCCACCCCCGGCAAACAGAAACGGCAGGTCACAACCCCCAGCTCTCGGGGCCAGCCTGCCCCCAACACTGATGGTCCCCTCTCTACTCTCTCCCTGCCGGTGCTGGGACACCTGAGTAGAAGAAGATCATGATCATAATCTGCTGTGTGATCCTGGGTATCGTCATTGCCTCCACCTTTGGCGGCATTTTCGGCTAGACTCACCCCACGGGACTGTTTGTGTGCGATGGACGGAGCCGCGCGTGCCATGGGGCCGCAGCCACACCGGAGCGAACCACGCAGCCCCGGAGCCTCCCAGCAGCATTTCAGTTTCTAATGCATGGTTGTTTGTGACGCTGTGTGTGCGGTGCGGTGCGTCTGTGTGGAGGGAGCGCCGGCCCCGGGGCGTAGGCAGGGTGCAGGGGATGGTGATGGGTGCAAGGGGGACCCTGGGGCGGGGGAACCCAAGCTCTCATCACTGCTCCAGCCTGGGTGGCTGGCTGGGACCGGGTGGGGACAGAGATGCCCTTGGGCACTGCTGCTCCTCTTGCGCTGGGCAGCCTGTGTTAGTGACAGCAGAGGATGAGGAGGGACCGATGAAGGGTGTTAGAGGTCTTTGGGAGCACAGTGCCCAGTCAGCTTCCTCCAGCTTCCCCATCACTTCCAGCCAGAGCTCTCATGTCTGTCAGCCGCGTCTGTGCTTGCAAACACCTTTCCTTGGGCTGCTTCTCTCACGGGGCCCTTCCCCAGGGGTGCGCTCTGCCAGGCCTGCCTCCCTCGCCATCCCTGCCCGTCCCACGGCCATGCCTGGCTGTGGGCCTCCATCCCTGCTGCTTTGCCGATGGCAGGGCTGCCCCCTCCCTAGGCAATCCCTTGCCCCCGAGTGGGTGGCAGGGGCCAGACGATGGGTGCCAGATGGAGCAGTGTGGGCTGAGGAGCTGCTGCCTGGGGCCATCACAGTCGCTTGGGGACAGAGACAGGCTACGTGGGGATCTGTGCTGCACCCTGGTGCTGGCCCGGCAGGGCACGAGGGCACGGGTACTTTAAGGCCAGGATGTTTCACTGGCCACTTGCCCTGCACCAAAGCCTCATTTTTCTGTTCTCAGCCCTGGCACACAGTGGCCCTGGCTCCTGCTGCCCCCAGGCGTGGGCTGTAGCCATGGGGGTTTGGGGCTGGCTCCAATGCCCGCAGCCCCCGGCAGTGCTTGCCTGAGGGCAGGGCTGCTTCCAGCCTCACTTCTTCACATAGGCACCCATGGCTGGGGGTTGGAGGCAGTTGGGCTCTCTCCTGTCGTGGTCCCAGGAGCAGCCCTTGTTGCATCCACCCCCCTACAAGCTAGGAGCAGCGGCCTTCCTCCTCCTGGCTGCCCCTTCCATCTCTTTGCCACCTCTTGGCATCCGCCTGCCCTTGCCACCTCCTCCTGGCACAGTGCCCGTCTGCCTGCTCATCCCCTGGGCCATCCAGGGAGGCACCCACACTTGGTGGGGTGCTGTGGGAGCACTTGGGTGCCCTCTGCCATGTCCACTGCAGGGATACAGCCACTGTGGGGTGGCCTGAGCCTGCTGGCAGCTCAGAGGGGCCCTGTGTTGCCACTGTCTGTTTTCCTCCGGCTGGGCACTGGGCTCTGTTCTCATTCCTCCAGAGTCTCCAGGGCTCCAGCTGGCCCATCCACAAGCCAAAGCACCACAGAGGAGCCCAGAGCAGAGGAGGCACCTGGGGCCAAGCTCACAGCCACACACTGGGGCAGGGGCTGGACATGAGCCCAGATGCTGGTAGCAGAAAAAGGGCACTTGATGGCAGCGAGTACTCCAGCTACAAGGCAGCAGGGCTGCTCCACCCCCGTGCTCCTCCGCCCTGGCTGGGTGCTGGTCCTGTGTGTGGCACCCACGGGTGATGGGGGGGTGAAAGGCAGCATGCTGAGGCAAGACACAGCCCTGCCTTCCCCGGGTGCAGCCCTGCCCAGCG